ATCCAGCAACTTCGCACAGCCTCAGGGTCTGGGGGGGTCCGAAAACCAGTCAGTATCTGGTGTGACCACCATTTGCCTCACGCAGTTCAACCTATCTCCTTCGCATAGAGTTGATCAGGTTGTTGATTCTGGCCTGTGGAATGTTGGTCCACTCCTCTTTAATGGCTGTGCGAAGTTGCTGGATATTGGCAGGAACTGGAACACGCTGTCGTATACGCCGATCCAGAGCATCCCAAACATGCTCAATGGGTGACATGTTAGGGTTAGGGTTTAACCCTAGGGTTTTCGGACCCCACCAGACCCCCCCAATAAAGCAAAACTGCACGTTTCAGAGTGGCCTTTTATTGTGGCAAGCCTAAGGCACACCTGTGCAATAATCATGCTGTCTAATCGGCATCTTGATATGCCACACCTGTGAGGTGGGATGGATTATCTCGGCAAAGGAGAAGTGCTCACTATCACAGATGTTTTCAGATTTGTGAAAAATATTTGAGAGAAATGGTTATTTTGTGTATAGAGAAAATGTTTTAGATCTTTGAGTTCATCTCATGAAAAGTGGGAGCAAAAACAAAAGTGTTGCATTTATATTTTTGTTCAGTGTATTATACATTTGTTTCCTATACTTTTTTCGCATTTGTCGTGGAATGAGTTGGTGCGGTACACATCAGCGTGCATTGAAAATGAAGGGAGAAATATTTCAGAACGGGCTTGACCTAAAATGACAGCTGCTCTGCTTTGAGAAAGCTCATGGCAACGTTCAATCAAAACTGGCATCTGGGTGTCGGCAGTGAAATGTCACAAAATATAGGTCAAGCATTGTACCAATACTTTTGTTAGGAATAATGTTTTTCGGCTCTAGATAATATTTGATCTTATTTTGTATTCAGAACATTTTGGTTAAAATATACAATACATCTTAATTTTATTCTACATTATTATAAATGCCTTAACTGTTAACAAATGGGAACAGCGGAACCAGCCTTAGGCAGCGAAGCTAACAGCGGCCTTTAAGGGAAAACAAACAGAGAGAGGTAAGGAAAGCCCTCTGGGTACTTGGCTTCGAGCAGAGGTTGGAGACTTGGGCTTCTGCCATTAAAAACACACAATTCGTAACATATAGACTTATTCACATGCTCAAAAACACACACACAAATACACACTTTTACAGTCCAATCTAATCAGGGTGTAAGAGCTTATTTCACAGTTAATGGGGGGCGCTCAGAAACAAAGAATATTTGGCAGAAGCAGCATTCTGCAACAGCATTCATTCACATCTGTTGGTGTTAAAAATGCCTATGAAGATGTCAGAATTCAAACATGTTCAGTGATCGATATCTCAAAATAGAGCAGATGTTTTCTTGCCGTGTTCTGGTGCGGGGAAACCATCTGTGGCGTGCATTCCTTCACGCTTCATTTCCACCTCGCACACATGTAACTTTACTATCAAAGGATCTTTGTGGTTACAGTAGACAAAGTGAACCATATAATGAAGCAGGCTGTTGCTCTGTGCAGAAAGGATATGCTCTGTTGCATCGTGTGTAATAAATAAAAGTGTAAATCACTGTGCCATCGTATCGTCGAACCTAAGCATCACATACACACAAATAAAAAAACATATTTTTCTTTACACACACATAATACACACTCCTCTCTAAGAATCCCCTCATGGTCCTCCTGAAGTGTCACATCTGGCCCAGAAAAACCACAGCATCCGTCTTCACAGATGAATTGAAAGCTGAGAAGTCAGGAAGAAGGGGGAAGAAATAGAAAAAGGGTCTCTTCCAGCTTCAAACGAATCCCCCCGGTGAAATATTGTTTCAATGTACGCTGTACTTTGTAGCCCTAATGCCGGCTTTGAACTGTTTTGGCACCTGTCACAAATACTGATGAAATATCCAGAGCACCATTTCCTTTATCCTTCTTGCATTTCCTCAAACTCCTCTTCTTCCTCCCTCTCTTTCCCAGAAGCTCTTTCCGCTCTGTCTGCTACCCAGTGTGATCTCGTATTTGGAGCTTCGTACGGTTGCACTTCTGAACTTTTGCAACATTTCCTCTATGAACTATCCAAACTTTAATTCACTTGCTTCTGGCTTTTGGCGTCATTATAGTCAGACTTTAAATTCTTTAATGTAAAGTTCGGATTCAATGTAGGAAGAGGCAGGGTTACTTTTTTAACACGTTTCTTATATACTTCCTAGACAATCTGTTTTCTGCTTCATGGTATGGCAACCTCAAAGGACTTGAACCAACGTATACCATATGTGCATCAACCTTAAGATGACAATAGGACTGAATGAAGTAAAGGGATACTGACAAAGGAAGCAACAATCAGACAGCTGAGCTAACACAAAGTCAATATGCAGATGAATTGAATAAAACCGCTTTGCCAATGGCTACGCTAACTTCTGACACACTGGCATCTACAAGTTAGCTTAAGCAGCCCAATGCTGAAACCTTACTTTTTTTCACTCATGGAACTTTTGACGATGCAAGCCCACAGCTCTTTTCTTTTCACTGAGGACGGACTTCAAAAGCTACAAGTGAAAATCAATCTCCACTTTCTTCACAGTCTCTTTCTCTCTCTACATCGCCGGTCCCCTCCATCAGTTTTCAAGCGTCGTCTGAGGCTCCAGGCTGTTAATTATATAGGATGTTGTCAGGGGGTTTGGGTATGTTTTTGACTGTAGTACGGATGGAAGGATGGATGTAGTTGATGTGAAAAGGTGCTGAGGGATCCCGGCAATCTTCTTAAATGTCTTTCTTCATACTTGGTTGTTCTATTTCTCCATCTTTTGTACTTTCTTTACACCTTTCCTTTTTATTTTTTACTTTCCTACAGCTATCTGACATCCCTGCTTCTCTTTTTCTCTGTTCTGAATTAAATTGGCCTTCTCTGATTTTCCATTCTTTAAAAATCCTTTTCACATCCGTTCTCTCAGTCCACTCCCTTAATTTCCTCCTCTCTCCAACTATCCCTTATTTCCCCCTCTTTCCTCTCTACATACTCATCCTCCCTCCATTATATTGAACAGCCCCCGCACCCACCTTTCTCCTAGTTGATTATACATCAGGTCTTCTGTAGCCCGCTTCTTCCTCCTTTAGTATTCCCCTTTCTCATTATGTGGTATGCATGTGTTTGTGTGTGATCAGACACACAAGGCCAAGGCTAAGCAGCCTAATGAACAAACTCCGGCATTGTGTTCGGGCCCCGGGGACGCGCTGTAGCTTCTAATGTACAACAGCTCAGAGGGGAAGGAAAATGCACTGACAGGGAGCCAGCTATCTGCTTAGATGAAAATGTCCAACAATAAGCCAAGCAGAGGGTGTGCAGGAAATATTTGACAAGAATCTGGTCGATGTTTCCTTATCCCAAGCTGTTCTGACTTGTCAACCTTGTCGTCCTATCCTGCGAATGGATGGGACAACACTGTCAATATCAGGCTCTTGTTCAGTCTTAATATATACATTGTGTTACATTCGTTTAAGTATGGTTTCAAAGGGGATATAATTGTATTATTAACTTACTTTTTCAGTGCTTGTGCACATATATTTGGTTTTTTGGAGTGGCTACTAACCCACAAACTGTGAAATAAAACATCATAATGAGATGTTTGTGAGCTGCTTTGGTCCGAAAACATGGGATTTAACCAGCCATTCAGGTTTGGCTCCTTTTTCTGTGTCACTTCGCCCCAACTCAGTATGTCCACACATGGCTTGAGGGCTATCTTTGCAAAGGTGCACTATATTTTTCCTGCAAGGCAATCAAAGCAGACTGTACTTTTTTGGGTGCGGTGCTCCGAAAACACGTTTTTTTTTTTTAAGCATTCAAGCTTGACTAAACATGTTCTATTAGGAAACCCAAAATGCAAGTCTGATCCTCAAAATGAGCCAAATATGTCCCCTTTGAAGACTGCTAAAATGTGTATTTTGGATAAAAGTATTGGTCCGAATCATGTCAACATTCAAGGCCCTTTTCCTAAGACTACATGAAAGGAAGTTGGCACTCTCTGCCTGCCACATGTCTCTTATTATACGAATCCCTTAACGGTGTCTCTAGGTTGTAAAATATGTGATTTGTCAGCAGCGATCTGGTTTGTTATCCTTTTGGCTCCAACAGTACGTCACAGGGTGGGTGTAGTTCCACCCAAGCTTTAACTCGTATTGTATAAGAACTGTCACCCGCCCTCCTGCTCTTTTTCCACCTCTCTTTTTCTACCTCGTTCTCAGTGTTAACGAGATCTACATCGCTGCCAAATCATGGCATGAACACACTGTAATGACTTCATTTCTTCCAGCACATGAACACAGGCATATGGGAAACATTATATCCTGAGTGGACTGTCCGGTCTCATTCTGCCTCACTAAAGTTGAACGTGTGCAAGCATAGAGGCACATTAACCCAACTGTATATAAATAAATGCATTTTTCCATATGTATCTATGCAAGAACACACAGTCCAGTGGTGTGAGCCGGTGGATAGGCTGAGTCCAGATGATCCAAACAAGAATCTTGACAGCTCTGGACAATATCACTGATGTGCAGCATGAGCTCATTACTCCCCTCCACACATAATTAATTCCAGCCTATCTTCCTGCCATAACAATGCAGCACTGTTACAGTATGATGCAAATATTTTTATAGGGTAGATAATCTTTGTGAACTTTGTTTGAAAAGCCCTGTTGCTTGTGTGTTGTCGTGCAGAATTGCTATCTGGTGCAAGGCCAGTGGGAGCATTGCACAAGCCCGTAAAACATGTGCATCGCAGCTCTTTAGGCTGACTCTTTTGTGGCAAATCTGGCCTGAAGTCAAATATGTAACCCACGGATTGCGCGCCTTTTTTGTTTTTTTACAACAACTGATTTATTTCATCATCCCTTGTCTAATCTTACTCTTCCTTGTTTGCTTGCTTTTCTGACTTTATTGGACAATTTCTTACTAACAACTGATTCCTGAGGGAAAGAAAAACACTAAAGCATCTTATTTTTCTGTTGTTTCTGCAGGACTGCCCTCAGATCCTTCCCTCAACGCAGATCTACATCCCTGTGGGGGTGACCAAGCCTATCACGTTAGCCGCCAAGAACCTGCCCCAGCCCCAGTCGGGACAGAGGAACTACGAGTGTGTCTTCCACATCCAGGGGGAGATGCACAGTGTGCCCGCCCTGCGCTTCAACAGCACCTCCATCCAGTGCCAGAAAACAGCGGTGAGTAAGAAAGGAAGGAAGATAGGAAATATGGGTAATCTGGTCGTGTGAATGGATGCCATTAAAGCCCTGGCAATGCTAGTGAACACAGCATGTGATGGTGGTAGTGTCATTATAGGAACAAAAGAGGGAAGCAGAAATGGATGGTGTTGTTTACGAAGATAATTTGGTTGCTGTCGATGGATTCCGGTAGAGAAAGGCACACAGTTGGATAAGGAGATTTTGATGGATGCCATTTTGTTTTGCACACTGTTAAAATAAAAGCAGATGTCAATCATAGTTTTGACGGGAGATCTTGGCGACAAGACTAGATCCGGAGGGAGATTCTGAAATGTGTACAAGCTAAAAGCGTTTAGCACTATTACTCTTCACCTAATCAATTCAACTACGTAACTAAATCCTGATCGCAGTAAGGACATTAACTCGGTCAGAGTTTAAGTAATGGCCTCCTACATCTAATGACCACTTTGGATACTAACATGCTCATTGTACTGATAGATCGCCCTGCGCCACTTGCACCGGCTTGGTCTCAATCTAGATAAATGACCCGCTGCTGATCTTCCCTAGTTGAACTGATAGTTGGAAAATAGATATTGACGGCAAGAGTTCACAGAGTCATAATTTGAATCGAGGCACACTTATGATAAGCCTATATTGTGGGGAGATTTTTTCACTTGGTCTGTATGTATTGATTCAAATCATGACAGATCATTACTGTTCAGACAATGCATCATTTAAATCATTTATATCGAGTGTGAAGCTGCAGTGGTCAGCCATCAAAGAGTTGTTCTGAGCTTCTATCATTTTAATGTATTTGCGGCTGTGGCTGGTAGGGATTGGTGCGCTGGATTAAACTGTTCTCGAGGACCCTTTTTCACAAGTTTTTTTAATAGGATTTTGTAGTGTGTGTGTAGAGGATTTACAGGTATGCAGGTCCATGCCTGTTCTGTGTGTTGAAATATGGTGGTGTGTGTGTGTGTGGTTTTGAGACTTCAAACTAGCGTGACAGATAAGAGGTAGCTAGCGTTGCGCTTCACTGAGGCTGAAAATGTGAAGAGGAAGTCTGTCTCTGAACCTAGTTGGGAGCGGATTGATCATGTATACACCTCCACTCTATACCTCTTCCTCTCCTTTCCTCTCTCTGTCTGTCGTGTCATACTTTCTTCTTCTGCTATTCCCTCCTTTCCTCCCATACACTCATTTCTGCTGCTTGCCTCTTCCCTGTCCATTTCTTCAACATATAATGCAATGTACCAAAGCTGACATGAGATGAGCACTGCTGCTGTTCATTTTTTGCTTTAGTTCAGGGTGTCACCAGAACATGTCGCACAGGGATGAACATCTTTGACGGATTAAAATAAAGCAGAAACATCTAAAATTCTAATAAGCTGTAGCACACAAACTCTCTATATGGTACATCATGTCAAAAACAGCCACAAGTGTATGTAGTCATATAGATATTTGTAGACACTATTATTTACCAGTCTCTGTTTAGCTGTATAGCTGAGTAGCTGCTGTGACAGCTAGCGCAGCATTTGATTCTGTCCGTATCGACTGGCTATCTTCAGGTGCTGGCACGCGCTAGCAAGTTGTTAGTGAGGCAGGGCTAATTAGCTAGCGATAGGGTTGTCTCTCCGCAGAGATGTCTGTTTATTGACTGTTTATTGTAGCTGCAAGGCCACTGCTAATCAGCTGCAAAGACCAACCCCAGCCAAAAAGCTGAATTTCTCCTTTTGATGTCCACAAAGCAGACATGCTAGCAGCAATTAGCCTGGGGCTGTCAGTGCTTAGCCCTTGTTAGAAATGAGCCGTGCCAATTTGACAGCGCGCTCAGATATCGATGCAGCGCGTGCAAAGAGCATACATGAGGCAGTAGTTAGATTCAGTAGATAAAAAAGGTGCCAGCTGCATGAACTTGCCATTAAGGCAACATTCATCCAGCGTAAGCTTATGAGTGTAATTATGTGTCATGAATTATTAGGATGAGACTCCTATTATAGCTCTGAAAGCAGTATTTCAAAAGAATGAGGCTGTTAAATATTAGTTTATCCGTTTATAGACCTTCATATCTATACTTTTCATGCGCTCTGCTCCATGTTTGTTCCTTCTTTGACAGTGTTCAGCACCAACTCGATGAATCATGTATGACTCTGCAGTAGAAATAGACTTCATCTGTTATGCTGCGTACAAACTGCTACCTCGGTTTGTAGGCACACAGCTACAGGGATGGGGGTTAATCAGTGTCTGTGCGTGTGTGCACATGTGAATCCCTCACTGCGCCGTAGGCTATGGATCCCAGGATAGCTGTGCATGTGTTTGTTGGGCTGTGCAGTTTCATTACACCACTGCATGAACACTGTTGGGGAGGTGGTGGCCAATCAATGTGATAGAGACAGGGTAGCTAATCCACAGTTTAGCCCTGTGTTTGAGATACACATAAGTGTTTACCACTGTGTCAAACTGACATACACTCACTCGCTTGTTGCAGGAAAGACGAGGACAAGGGAAAAGACAAAGAGAATTGAAGGTTATTTATATGAAGTAATAACGAAGAAAAGCAAGAAAGAAAGACAGGAAAGAAAACCTTAAGGTGGAGAGGACATAGAAAAGGATAGAGGAATAAAGGAAAGAAAGATAGGGAAACAACCACAGGAAGAGACGCAATACCAGAAAGTGTTAACGGCAAGAAATGGAGATGAGAGCAGGCCAGATGGACTCGGGAAATTGGAATGTAGTACACAATTTCAGGTGCGATGAATGGAGAAAAGTGAAAAGGAGAGTGATATTGGAGCGAACGGAGGGGGGGAAGAAAGGATGAGAGCATGCAAGGGAGAAAATTAGCTCAAAAGTCTCCCCTGAGGCCTCAACCGCTTCTCCTCTCTTTCATACAATATCATCACACTTTCTAAAAGAAGATAACTATCCACAGGATATTCAGCAGATCCACCGTCGGATCATGTTTAAACTTTCCCGCTCTTTATTCCATCCAGTGACCGTAAAAACTCAATATTCTTACATAGTATCGCCTAACAGGAGGCTGTCAATAAGCTACTGTATATGTGACACACATGATATGAGGTAGCTAATGTAACATCAGCTCCATACTAACCTTGTTTGGTATTGACTTTCCATATCTGCTTATGGGGGGGGGGAGGATATTGATGCTAAAGTATTTCTGTATAATGTTACTGTACATACCAACTGATCCCAAAGGGGAAAGAGGAAGCGTATCACAAGACATGAGAAAGAATACACTATTAAGGAAAGGATGATTTTTCTCCAAGCAGAGACATGAAACAAATAGGCTCCACAAACAATATCCAATGTGTGGAGACTTTGAAGAATCATGCATTTTAGGGGTGAGGCTTTTTAATTGGCTATGATATAGCGGTCTTGAACTTTCACAAAGTTTATATGGTGAAAAATATGGTTTGCTCACACACTTTCCCTTTCTCACTCCCAAAGGTGGTTACTGAGCCAAACATAATTCAACACATTTGCAACCTGTGAAAGTTGATGAAGCGGCAGATTGTCCAATGTCCTACAGCAAGTTATTTGGAGAAGAGGAGCTGATCATTTAAAAAAATAAATAAAAGAGTCCTCTCCATATGTTTTAGTGCCAAACAAGCCCACATTACCACTGACACATTCGGAGCCATCCGCCAGGCCTTATGGTAGCAGTTAACTCCGGTCTGCAGCAACCAAAACAACAAGCTGCTGTCTGCGTTGGTCCTTTCCGCTTTTCTGACCCGTGTAAGGCAGCTTCCTGGTGGGTGTGGGCCAATGAGAGGCTGGGGTGAGAGTGCAAAGGCCAAGAAGATGCAGAGCTGTGGCCTGGGAAGTTGAGCGCCGGGGTGCCCATGGGAGCAAACAAACACATGTATGCACACAATGCCTGCACACACACACACGGCCACACTCTGAGGTCAGGGAGGCTGACGGAGCGCAGCTGGGCGTCGTGTGAAGGCCGAGGTTGAAAGAAGAGAATTTATGCTGTTTGAGACTTGTTCTCTTTCTCTCTGTTCCTTCATCACTCCCTGTTCCTATAGCATGCTGTACTTTGGTGTCTCCATTGTCCTCCTCTCCTCTTTATCCCTCTTTCTTGTTCCGTCCCTGGAGGGCAGGAATGAGAGGACAGATAATATCTGCACAGGCCTTACACCATTACCTTCCGTCTGATAAAGTGCTCAGCAACTCCATCACCCTCTTTCTCTCACTCCTTCACCACGGAGAATAGAAAAGCAGACACAGGGGCAGGAGGAGAAAATCTAGTTTGGTATACGGTGTGTGTCTGTGTGTTATCCTTCTGTGTGCGGGAAGAGCAGCTGTTTGTTAAAGGAGGAATGGGAAGTATCAGGGGTCCTGATGGCATCCAATTAAGGCAGATAAAATGATGATGAATTGCAGGCGGGCAACAGAGACGGACGCATACACACACGCAAGCACGCACACGCACACACACACACAGAAAGACAGCAGAAGGGGATACAGATTTGGAGGAGAAACCGAGAGAAGGAGAGCAGGATAAGGAAGGGAAGTACAAGAAAGGCAAGGAGGTTTGGAGGAAAAAAAGAAATGGATGAGGAAAAGAGGAAGGGTGAAATGACAGTGTGTAGGGCGAGAGTTTGGATGGCATAAAAAGTAATATGCTCCTTTCCCGATGGGAAATGAGGGAAGGACGGCACGCAAGACAGATGCATAGACAGATGAATGGACTGATAAATGGAGCAAACAGAGGTCTAGGGAGGAGGCCAAACATGTCTGCAGGGAAAGCGGTTAACACAAACCACACTGGTCTAATAGTGTAACACCCCTACGTTCTGTGTGTGTGTGTGTGTGTGTGTGTGTGTGTGAAGGAGAGGGAATGAGACATTCAGCACAGTGCAGATTCAAAACTTCTCTGACTCTTTTAAAGACTTTCTAGAGTTTATGGGATTCGTTAAAGATGTAACCGACTGTAAAAATGTAAATTATACAGAAAGAGAATTGTCATTTTGAAT